TGATACTATCGCATTGCAACTTAATAGCGTCGACTCCTGCTTTGTCATCTTCAAGAAGTCGGGCTGAGGCAGTTGGCTCAAATTTGAATTTTGTTGAACTGACGATATGGGCAGTCTTTTGGAGTGTCGTTTTTCGATCGTTCAGGTTCTCCAGAGCTTTCTTGAGTTTGAGGAACTCAGAATGAAGCTCAAGGAAAAAGGTGGTTTGCGGTTCTTGGAGCGATCCGATGGCAGTCAACGCAGAGATTCCAACACATTTTGCGGCTTCCAAGGGCGTGGTGCTCGGAATTTGCTGTGTTTCGTCGTCAGCTGCAAATCTGGTGCGTTTGTTGTTGAGAGTGCCGGTCGCAGACATTATTGATCGATGATAAATCTTTTAAAGTAGAAAATGATCTAATTTTTATCCAAGAAAAGGCCAGTCTTGACCGAAGCTATTGAAGTAAAAGTAGCTTTCGCCGAGGCTTCATCAGCGGTAAGACAAGTGTGGCAAGAGGCAAGAGCATTGGAAATTTCAAGTTTGCGATAAAACAGAGCAAGCCGACGTGGATAATTCGCCGTTTGCAACTATTTCTCGTGATTGTAACGGGACCATGTGGAACACATGGTGGTTTGAAAGTTTGGTCACGCTGTTGTGGGACCAAGTTCAAGGAATTCCAACATGGCTATCAGTTTGACTCTGTATTCGGAAGCGTATCCAGGATTTCACTTTGGATGCTTGATACGGGTCGTGCTGTAGGGCATTTTGATTCAACATGTCGTGGGAACAGCAGGTTCTTCAGATTGGGAGGCCGGCTGCAAGCAACAATAAGCTGTTCAATTGGAACTCGGACTCTGCTGGAGTTGCGGAGCTCCCACAAGTGCGGTTCAAACTGAGTTGTTACCACAAGTGGGAGTGGGGTGCAAACAAGTCTCATTTCCCAAGTGGTTTTGTACGATTTGAGGTTGGCAAGGTTGTGGTTGCAGGCTCTGCCAAAGGTCTTTGTTAGGGCCGACGGTCGTAGAATACGTTGGGAGAAGGCTTGCTGAATAGATCTGCGAGTGGGGTCGCGATTGTGAAACGGCAAGTGGAGAAAGCAAAGTGCATTGTTTGAGGTAGCGGAAGGATCTTGTCTGGGCTTTTGGCGTCCGAATTGGTGTAGGGCTTTTTTGAAAGCAGAGCGAAGAAACTTCAGTTTGTATCCGCGGGCGACAAGGTGGGAGTGGAATTTTGACAAGGAGGCTCTCTTGTCTGCGTCTCTAGAGGTGAGTCGTAGAATACAAAAAATTCCGCCAGTAACCAAGCCAAGTCGCACCGAGGAGATGTGAGCGGAGTTTAGAGGGATGTATAGATGTAGGTTCAGTGGCTTTTCGTACAGTTTTGTGCTGATTTGAAAAGGTTCGACAGAGAGGGTGAGATCCAGAAAGTTGGCGGTTTTTGACAAAGTAGAGAATTCCCAGTTCAGGGAGCAGTAGTTGTCTTGACAGTTTTTGAATTCTTCCCAGAGTTGGCGATCGGTGTCTGGATTGGGATGGTGGATCCAGATGCCGAGTTGATCATCAATGTATCAACGTAAGTAGTGTAGTGATGATCCAAAACGTTGTAAAAGATCAAGTTCAAAAATACCGTAGTAGAGAGTTGCAAAAGAGGGCGCCGGTGGTGTGCCCATTGCGGCTCCGTCAGTCTGGAGCCAGTAAGTGTCTCCAAATCGAAAGCAGTTTCTCGTCATGAGAAGTTGCAAAGCTGTCATGATTGCGTTGACGTCGACATTTTCAGTCGACATTTTCACACAGTGAGGAGGTGGACAGGAATTCTGCAATACGGGTGAAAGCGTCTTCAAGATTGATGCTGGGATACATAGCCACAACATCACCAGTGAAGAGACTCATGCAAGAGAATTCGGTGCCGGCCATGTTATCAATGTCAGTTTTGAGTGCAAACGAGCTTGACAAATAGGTAGGTAGTTTGCGGATGATGGGTTGGAGTTGTTGATCCAGCCATTTTCCGAGGCCATAGAGTAGGCTGCCAGAGACCAAGACAATTGGTCGCGTTTTCCAGGGGCTCTTATGGATCTTTGCAAGTGCGTAGAAATAGGCATAGGAGTCAGTGACACGGTCAAGGGTTCTCTGGAGGTACGGCATGTCCATTTTTGTGATGGCAGACGCGTTATCATTAAGGAATTTGGCAATCAATTGGCCAGTTTCTGTTGTGAATACATGTGCATCCTCGGGGGAGAGCTGGTGGTAGGTCTCAGTGAGGAGATGGTCAGTAAGGCAGCGTTGGACGTATACCTCACGTTCCAGAAGTACAGGGCCAAGATTTTTGTCCGAGTTTAGGACAATGAAATCAGGGTTGTGACGTAGTGTAGTGAGAAGGTGCTGTTGAATCGGGGTGAGATTCGAGTGCACCTTTCGGCGGTGGAACAGGGGAAGGAGATGTTTGCGGAAGGCGTTGACTCGGGCTTAGATTTCAGGATCCACCATTCCATCCTTTAGTTCCCACAGGTCATTGCGGGTGTAAAGTTGGTTTGGTGTCCATTCAGATTCCTCACCGGCAAAGTGGATCTTTGTGTGAAAGTCTTTTGCAAAACGAGTCAGTGTGGTTTCAAGTTGTGTTTGGCTTGTAGTGAAGGCGGGTCTGGGGCAAAACTTCAGGCCAAGGCCAAGGAGCGACTTCAGGAACAAGGGTGGTTTCTTGGTGGTACACAAATTATGGCAGGCGGAATTGGAAAGGCGGGATTCAAGAACAGTAATTGGCAGTGACAGGATGTGGTCGCGTAGGTTGACTCGATGTGATTTTGATGGATCTGCAAAGAGGCCAAAGCGCGATATCATTGTGGAGCGAATTTTCTGCTCTAGTTTCGCTTCTTGTTTCGAGAAGTCTTTCCTTTCTTCTGTGATTTCCTTCCTGAGTTGGGTTTTGGCTTGGAGGTAGCGGCGTCGGCACCGGCAACTTTTGCGGCAGTTTTTGGCTGTGGCTTGGTACCAGATGTGCGACGCTTTTGATCAGTCTTCTTTTTGTCGGAGGCGCCTGGCAATTTGGCCCCTCGGGAGTTGTTTTTTGCAATGGCACATTTAAGCGTCTGGATTTCTTTCTCCAGGTTCTTGGTCTGTTTCTTGGTTTCGAGGCGAACACATTTGTCGATGTGTGACTCAACAGACAGAGTGTTGGTGATGTCAATGTTGTCAACATCCATTGCAGTAGTGGTGGTAGCTGTAGCGGCACGGGTCAGAGAGATAAAGTGTTTCACTCTCAGTAAGTTCTCGTTGGCAGTTTTTTGCTCAAGGTAGGTTGTCCAGCTTGTGACAAAAAGAGCTTTGGTGATTGTGTTGAAAATCTTCACAATCGGGGTAGCGGCCGTGACACAGAATGTGTAGTCCAAGTTTGGGCGGTAGGCTGCTGTAGGTGCTTCAGTTGGTGTGTGTTCAGTTGCTATCTCATGGATCTTGTCATAGATATCAGAAGAAGATGCAAATTCAGAAAACTTGAGAATGGGCGGTCCTCCAAGACCAGCACTATCATACATCATTTGATAGATTTCGCAAGCTTTGGAATTGTCAGTGAACTTGGGGTCACCGAGAGCAAGGGTGGATGCAATGCCGACAATGCTTTTGGCAATGAGTTTTTGGATTGCATTCTTGACGGATTTTATTTCAAGGTTGAGCAGTTTGATGAGTTCATCTTTCAGGTTGGTTTGCATGTGTGTGAGATGATACTATCGCATTGCAACTTAATAGCGTCGACTCCTGCTTTGTCATCTTCAAGAAGTCGGGCTGAGGCAGTTGGCTCAAATTTGAATTTTGTTGAACTGACGATATGGGCAGTCTTTTGGAGTGTCGTTTTTCGATCGTTCAGGTTCTCCAGAGCTTTCTTGAGTTTGAGGAACTCAGAATGAAGCTCAAGGAAAAAGGTGGTTTGCGGTTCTTGGAGCGATCCGATGGCAGTCAACGCAGAGATTCCAACACATTTTGCGGCTTCCAAGGGCGTGGTGCTCGGAATTTGCTGTGTTTCGTCGTCAGCTGCAAATCTGGTGCGTTTGTTGTTGAGAGTGCCGGTCGCAGACATTATTGATCGATGATAAATCTTTTAAAGTAGAAAATGATCTAATTTTTATCCAAGAAAAGGCCAGTCTTGACCGAAGCTATTGAAGTAAAAGTAGCTTTCGCCGAGGCTTCATCAGCGGTAAGACAAGTGTGGCAAGAGGCAAGAGCATTGGAAATTTCAAGTTTGCGATAAAACAGAGCAAGCCGACGTGGATAATTCGCCGTTTGCAACTATTTCTCGTGATTGTAACGGGACCATGTGGAACACATGGTGGTTTGAAAGTTTGGTCACGCTGTTGTGGGACCAAGTTCAAGGAATTCCAACATGGCTATCAGTTTGACTCTGTATTCGGAAGCGTATCCAGGATTTCACTTTGGATGCTTGATACGGGTCGTGCTGTAGGGCATTTTGATTCAACATGTCGTGGGAACAGCAGGTTCTTCAGATTGGGAGGCCGGCTGCAAGCAACAATAAGCTGTTCAATTGGAACTCGGACTCTGCTGGAGTTGCGGAGCTCCCACAAGTGCGGTTCAAACTGAGTTGTTACCACAAGTGGGAGTGGGGTGCAAACAAGTCTCATTTCCCAAGTGGTTTTGTACGATTT